TGAATTTGAGCTTTTTCTTTCCTTTTTTTAATAAGGTTGGCTAGGGGCTTATCGATTTTATTTATTCTTTCAAAGAACCAACTCTTTGATTCGTTGATTCTTTGGATTGTTTTCTTAGTCTCTATTGCATTGATTTCTGCTCTGATTCTTATAATTTCCTCTCTTCTTTTGGCTTTGGGCTTGACTTGCTCTTCTTTTTCTAGCTGTTTGAGGTGTAGCATCAAGTTATTTACTTGTATTCGTTCTGTTTTCCTGATGTGGGAACTCAGTGCAATAAATTTTCCTCTCAGAACGGCTTTCATTGCATCCCACAGATTCCGGTAAGTTGTATCTGCATTTTCATTTTCTTTTAGGTATTGTTTAATTTCTTCTTTAATTTCTTCTGTGACCCACTGATTACTCAAGAGTGTGTTATTTAGTTTCCATGTGTTTGCGGAATTTTTGCAGTATCCTTTGTCATTAATTTCTAATTTCAGAGCACTATGATCCGATAATATGCAAGGGATGATTTCAACTCTTTTGCATTTGCTTAAATATGTTCTGTGAGCTAATATATGATCTATTTTAGAAAATGATCCATGTACTGCTGAGAAGAATGTGTATTCTGATGTTGTTGGGTGGAACATTCTGTATATGTCTATCAAACCCATTTGTTCACAGGTGTGATTCAGTTCTGTTATTTCTTTGCTCATTTTCTGTCTGGTCGATCTGTCCCTTGGTGTCAGTGGTGTATTAAGGTCTCCTGTTACAATTGTGTTACTGATAATTTGAGTTTTCATTTCTGTTAATAATTGTTTTATATAACTGGGTGCTCTGGAGTTTGGTGCGTATATATTTAAGATAGTTATCTCTTCCTCTTGGAGTTTTCCCCTTACGAGTATGTAGTGACCTTCTTTGTCCTTTATGGTCATTGTTGGTTTAAAGTTCACGTTGTCTGCAAACAGAATGGCTACTCCTGCCTTTTTTTTGGATTCCTGCTGCATGAAGAATTGTTTTCCATCCTTTGACTTTCAGTCTGTGAGTATCTTTCTGGGTTAGATGGGTTTCCTGTAAACAGCATATGGTTGGATTTTGTTTCTTGATCCATTCTGCTAGTCTGTTTCTTTTGATTGGTGCATTGAGACCATTTACATTAATGGTTATTACTGTTAAATGCTGGTTAATTGTAGGAATGTTATCTCTCTGCTGTTGCATCTTTATCTTTCGGTTCTGTTTAATTATTTGCTTTGCTTAGTGGTTTTTTCCTTTGTGTATCTAAACTGTCTTTCAATATTTTTTGCAGGGTTGGTTTGGTGTTCATGAAGTTCTTCAGCTGTTCTTTGTCATGGAAGTATCGTATTGCACCATCTATTTTGAATGATAGTTTTGCAGGATATATCAGTCTTGGTTGGAAATCATTTTGCTTTAGGATCTGGAATACTTCACTCCATGCTCTTCTTGACTTTATCGTTTGTGCTGAGAAGTCTGCTGTGATTCTGATAGGTTTTCCTTTATAAGTGATTTGTCTTTTCTCTCTGACAGCTTTTAATAATCTATTCTTGTGTTGGATTTCTGGGATGGTGACTATTATATGTCTGGGTGTAGTTTTATTTTGGTTATGACTGTTTGGAGTTCTATATGCTTCACTGATCCTGATGTCAGTTTCTGATCTCATGCTTGGGAAATTTTCAGCTATTACTTCTCTAAATATCCTCCTGACATCCTTCATGTTGTCTCCCTCTCTTTCATTAATCCCTATCATTCTTATGTTATTCTTCTTTGCATCGTCTTGCAGTTGTTGAATTGTTGTTTCCTGGTTCCTTGTTATTTTCAAAAGATCTTTCCTTTCCTGTTCACTAGCTGCAATCCTGTCTTCAAGGTCTGAAATTCTATCTTCACTTTCATTAAGGCGGTTTTTACAACTTTCAGTGGAGTTTTTTATTTCCTGTATATCTCTGTGCATCTGCATTATGTATTCTGTTTGTTTCTTATATTGCTCGTCTAGGGATTCTATCTTTTTGTTTAGTTCCTCCAATTTTTTATCTGTGTTTTCTTTAGATATATTTAGAATCTCTTTCATTTCTTTTATCATTTCTTCTTTTATCTGGGAGATTATTTCGAGTTTGAATTTCTTTAAAGCTTCCTGGAGTTGCTTGTCAATTTCAGTGGCTATTGTGTCCGATATATGAGGTGGATGGGATATATTTTCTTCTATATACATCGCTCCTAGGGTTTCTTGAGATGGGCTGGAGGTTTGAGGTTGTAATTTGGTCTTTCGTTTTGTCATTTTCCTATATTTCTGTGTTTCAAGTGTTACTTGAAAGCTTCCTCAGGATCTGTTGAAAATCCCCTTCTATGTTTGGAGCTACTGGGACTCTGGCGCCGCGCTACTCCAAGCCATTAGGCCTACAGAACCAGTGGCCCTCCTCTGCCTGCTCAGAACTCCGCAGTTCCAGACAAGCTGGGCCTCAGGGACACTGTGCGCCCACCTGCCCCTTGGAAGCTCCACAGTTCTTCAATCGCAGCCGGGTTAGGGTACTCACCACAGGCCGCAGTGCTTCAGGAACCTGTGGACCCTCCCTGGTTGCAGAGATATCCACAGTCCTCCAGACACGCAGAGAGGCCAGTGAGGGCACCCCAGATCTGCCCAGCTCCTCCTCTGCAGACCTGTGGCCAGACGCGGCAGCTAAACAGGCTGGGCTAGGCTGGTAGTGTGGGCCAGCCCACCTATTGGGAGCTCAGCAGGTCTCCAAATGAAGCCGGGAATGGGGAGGCTGATGTGGAAGCCTTAAACCCACCTCTCTCCTTCACTGCACCTGGAAGCCTGAGGGAATTCCAGCAGTCTGGGCGCAGAAATCCAGAGTCCTCCAGACACGCAGAGAGGCCAGTGAGGGCACCCCAGATCTGCCCAGCTCCTCCTCTGCAGACCTGTGGCCAGGCGCGGCAGCCAAAAAAAGAGTGGTGAGCTCTTACCCTGCAGGGTACAATACTTTTTCTACGTTAATTGGACCACATTCTGCAAGGGATCATCTTTAATACACATAAAACTCAAGATAATTGCTCTTATTTTATGCAATTCTTTGTCAAGGCAAGAAGAACCCAGAAAGGACCTAGTTGGAGTGCCCAGCACCCCAGAACCCAGTAACAACACTCTCACCTCTCTTTCATTAGACAGGAACGCACCATTTACATAGATTTTCTTTACTTTTCTCTTTAGCCCAAGACCAAGTAAGCACCATGTTAAACCGAAGCCTGGGATGCTGGGGCAGCATCAGTGCTTTGTATGAACTGAAATGTGTGCAGTGTTCTTTTGAAGACACAGAAGCACAAAACATGGACTTTAAAGTTCTTTTAAAGAATTCAGACTCCTCTCTCCTTCTCCAGGACATCTGCTAACAAGTAAGAAACATGGATCTGAGGGCTGAACTGATTTGAGAGACGGAGAAAGGAAGAAGGTTGGTATAGTGACCCAGGGACATCTGACCCAGGCTCCTGAGCGCACAGGGTTCATCTTCTCGAGCCAAAACACAGGGAGTGAAGAAACACATCTGGGAGGAAGAGAGAGGTCAGTTTTGGGGAGTCTCAGTTTGAGTTTTCTGTGCAGCACTCCCCATCCCATTGGATGGTGCTATCAATCTGGTGATCAGTAATGTCCGTGAAACCAAAAGAGCCGATGTATCATTCAGAGAAGTACCTCCGAGAGCGCAGTTCATGGGGTGGGGGAAAACAAACCAAAAGAGAGGAACAATTGAAGAATGAAATAGTCAATGCAGTTGGATACCCTTATGAATACAAGTTAGCTAGACTGGGGAGTCAGTCACATTTGGTGATTTTTTGCGGCTTAAGAATAATTTTGTCACAGGTACAAAAACGGGTCTGTCAGACTCAAGTTTATTTAGAATATTTCTATTGATGAGTTATCAATTTTAATTTTATAAGATTTAGTATATTAAACAATGAGTACTTAACAGAAAAAAATACTACAGGAAAAAGTATTGAATTTTTAGTATTTATTGTATATAAAGATCAAAATTTTCTACACTGACAGTTTTTGGTACTAAGTCTAAAGAAGAACAACACAAATAAATTCCTTTATGAATTGCAATTAAAATAGAAATAACACTTTACAAAAAAAAAACTTTACTGCAACTATCACACCTAAGGCAGTCTGCACACATGATAGCACCTTGTTCCTTACACACATGTTGCTTACACAGACAACACATGTATTTTGCTTCCCGACCTTTTTGGTGGTCACTTAACACTTAACATCTGGGGATCGAACTCACGACTACCTGCTTACAAGGTAGGCGCTTATGCCACTGAGCTAAATCTCCAGCCCCCTTTTCCTTCTTTTGAGACAGGTTCCCGCTTTGTAGCTCAGGTTGGCCTTGAACTCACGGTGTAGCCTTTGAGGCTGAACTGCAACTCTCAGTGATCCTCCTGCCTCAGCCCTTTAGAACTTGGGTTGCGCGCATGCGCCTCCATGCCAGGCTCAGCTGCAGTCTTTTTAAAAGCACAGTTTTTACTTAGGCTTTCCTAGCCTCCTTCTACTTATCTTGTGTTTCTTCTCCCCTCCCTCAGCACTAATTACACCGAGGTTACAGGACTCTGCCTCCCATTTGGCACTGCAGGGTGTAGGAGCCGGAAGGCCGGTACAGGTTGAGCTCTATTTATATCACGAACTCCCACAGGGAGAGCCGGCTTTTGCAAATGGGAAGGAGACGTGGAGGAAGGAGGGAGAGACGGAGAGGACGTAAAAAGCGTTAAGATGTGTTTGGTCTATGCATCAACTCCCCGCGTGGCATGTAAACATTACCAATAAAAATAAATAAAAATTTTAAAAACCTGCAAAAAGCATCCCGGTCTCCGAAGGTTTAGCCCTCGGGGCACAAAAAGCGCGTGGCTCAATCGGATTTCTGGAAAGCACAGTGCAGGGAAGCTCATGCAGGGCTGAGGCGTCAAGCGTGAGCCCCGCTTCCTTGGCCTTTAACTTTTAGCATAAGGAGTCGGTAGGAGCTGGGAGCAAAGCGGGGATGTTGCAGATGCACCGCGAGGGACGGCAGGAGCGTGGCTGCCCGGGCCCAGGTGTCCCCCACCTCCTGAGCCAGGTTACCTTTCACTCCAGGAGAGGGAGCTGGCCGCGGGTCCAAGTGTCCTCCCATTGCCAGGAGGAAGTGGCCCGGGCTCGGGCGGCCGCTCCCCAGGAGGAGGACCCGGAGAGGAGGTGGCCCCGCCATTGGCCGCGGGCGCTGTACCTGCGCGGCCCGGGCGCAAAGTCCACGGCGGCGCAGGTGGCCCCGGAGGCGCAGGCGGCCCCACGCCCTCGGCCAGGCAGGATGCCCCTGCGGCGGCTCGGCAAGAGGAAGACCAAGGGCAACGAGGCGGCCAGGCTGGTGGGGGCCGAGCCGCCCCCCGGGCCGCCCGGGCCGCCCGCGCCGCCGCCCCCGCTCATCTTCCACGCGCAGCTGGCGCACGGCAGCCCCACGGGCCGCGTGCAGGGCTTCGCCAGCGTGGCCGAGCTGTACGCGCAGATTGCGGCCGCCTTCGACCTCCCGCCCTCCGAGGTGAGGCTCCCAGGTCGGCCAGGGATGGGGGGCCTGAGCCCCAAAACCAGGGCTTGCAGGGAGGGGTCCGTCGGGTCAGGTCCCGCGAGGTGATGGGAGGCGAACAGGGCAGTCCCAGATGGAGGAAGTGACTGTCCCCGGACTGCCAGGTCCAGCCTCACCTCAGCCTCGGAAGCCGGGCAGGCGATATTTCCGAGCTTGCTCAGGCGTCACAGATGCATCCGTCGCAGCTGAGCCCTCCGGAGCCAGGGTCTGGCTGGTGACGGAGCTCCCTGGTCCCTACCTGGACCTACCTGGACTTTGTTGTCTCTGCAGGTGCGGGGCAGGGTGCGGGGTGCGGGGGAGTTGAGGCCCCTTCTGGGGCACCAGAGCAAGGCCCACTGTCGCCCTCATTTCCAGCCCAACACCAGAAACCCTTTGGGAGTGTTGCTAGGAGTTTAGGAAGCTGAGCTGTGACCAAAGGGGACTGTTTTAAATAATAGAATCATAGTTAACTACACGGGGCTAGTGAGCAGTTTTCATGGGTTAGATCAGCCTTAACGTTCACATCCTATCCTCTAGAGAGAGATTGAGAAATTTAATTAGATTGCGTGCCTGGAGTTGGAGTTTGACGTGGGTGTGATCACCAAGTGCTGGTTTATGAGGAGTTTTATGTGACCATTTTGTGGTTACCCAAGAGATCTGACACAGGTGATCAGAGATGGGCCCTACAAACTGTTTGGTTCACATTGCGAAGAAAAGGCCAAGATTCTGTGTCCTGGATTTCCCGGGAGTGCACAGGGGCCTAGGGTGGTCTCTGGATGTCTGTTACTTGAGTTCTTTAAATCTGTGTTTACCAGGGTTGTTCAAGTGAAGTTGAAGTCAAAGCAGAATTCCAAGAAGAGATGAAAGAGAGCTTAAAGTGTAACTGTTTGTTCTTTCAGAGGGCACTAACGAGCCAATCACAAACTCATTTTGTGCGTTATTTACTGACTTAGGTACTGACAATACTTCGTTTGCATAGGACTTTTCAATTAATAAAACACTCCTTTCTTAATTAGAAAATCACTTTGGAAGGAATAAGCACTTTAACCTTCTCTAAGTGAGCTAGGTGATCCATGAATAAACTTGAATGTGGATAAACTCAAATGTGGATACAAATTCTACCATTTACATCATACCAGCATGGCTTTGAACAAGTTTAATGATCTTGCTTCAGCCCTCCAGAAAGATAAGGCTATCCACTGTGAAGACTCGAGTTGGTACAGAGAGCTGGCAGATTGCCTGGTATACACTTCGTGCTTCATAAATTGCAATTAATATTATTAACACCTAACAGTTAAATGAGGGGCTGGGATGCAAAGAGACTGGGCCTTGGCCAAGGTCATAAAGCTTGCAAAAAGAAAGCAGGGTTGGTTTTTAAACTTGGAGCTTGTGATTTCTAAGCTGGTGAGCTTGTTAGCTGACAACCTTCAATATCTGTCCCGTGACCAGGGCCTGGGGTTTTACATTAACAGGTTTGCCCATCGTTTAGATACAACATTATTCTGAGACATGATTTTATTACATCCATTTAATTCGTTCAAGAAGAAAGAATTATTATTAATATCTTTGCTTCCCAGACAGGTTGCTGTGGCTTTGGGATTCAGAATTCTTCTAAAATTACACACAGTAAACAAAACAAAATGACCCCCCCCCCAAAAAAAAAAACCAAAACAAAACCAAACCATACAGAGTAAGTGGCACAATCTGGATTTAAACTCAATTACTCTCACCTCACAAATTCTGTGGAGCTGTGTTGCTTCCCAATTTTCCCAGTCTCTTAGAAATGTCTTGGCAGCCATGTTCAATGTTTTCAGTTTCCACATGCTGACTTGCAAGATAAAATTCCAAGATAATGAAATCATGTGTTTTGATGGACAATGTCAAGGTCATAAATAGTTTTTATAGCTCCCATGTGTGTTCCTAGCACAGTTATGCATGTCACCAATATCAATGCAAGTTTTCTATCTGAATTCAAAAGAGTTAATAAGTAGTTGCAGGATAAAGGGTCGGTCATCGGTCATGGTTACTTAGTACGTCTTAAATGTCTCGGTAGCTGACTTTGGAGCAGAAGTTAGATGTTAAAATTCAGTTCACACTGGGGAGATTCCATCTCCTCCCCATTCTCCCCACATAGGGGGATAAAGATTTCTCCTGGCGAGGACTGAATGGACGCTAACTCTGGAGCTAACTCGGAAGTCCTGCCTTTTCATGAGAGCTGGCTGTAGGGATATAAACGGTGTTCTGTGGGAGCCACATTCTTCACCAGGAAACAGCAAAGGACTGGTGTCCAATGGAGCAGACTCAGGTGGACTTCCAGGGCCATCAGGTGCCCACAATCCTGCCAGGTGTGTTGCCAACAGTGTGCTTGCTTTGTCCCTACCAGGACTCTCTTCCTTTTATAGTTGGGCAAAGTGAAACCTTGAGAAATTAAGCAGCCTACCCAGAATCTCTGGGTCATAAGTTTACAGAGCTGAGATTTATTTCTGTTTTGGGATTTGTTTTGAGACAAGGTTTCTTGATGTAGTGCAGGCTGGCTTTAAACTCATTATGTAGCCCAGCTGGCCTTGAATTTGAGGTGATCCTCTTGACTCAGCTTCTTGAGGGCTGAGATTATAAACTTGTACCATCACACTGTTTTGGAAAACATTTGTTTAAACAAATGGTTTTCCTCATAAACCACAAAAAAATATGTATCGCCTCCAAAAGATGCTGTTGTGAAACTCACAGTTTGGATTTTAGCTATTTCATGGTTCTTGAAGGATGAAGTTGATGAAGCCTTAAATCATTAAAGATTTAGGGTACAAGTGCCCAGCCTATGGGCCAGTGAGGTCCTGAGAGCCCAGTGTAGCTGAAGAAGCCAGTGAGGTCCTGAGAGCCCAGTGTAGCCGAAGAAGCCATGCCCCAAGGTTCTGCCATCGCCATCGGAGCAGCATGGGTGAACCACCACCCTGTGCCTCTCCACCTCCAGGAACCCCGGATGGGAGGAAACCAGGTGACTGGTCCAGTCCTCTACACTGAGGGATCAGCAGCCCATGCAGGAAGCACCTGGAATGTAGAAATGGGCTAATTTGGAGGAACACAGGAAAATGTCAAAATAATGGAGCAAAATACAGTCTCAGACCTGTAGCCCACACAGAACAAGTTCAGGAGACACACACAGAGTAGAAATTAGAGATCACAAACCTGAAATTTCTGAAAAAGTAACAACAGAAATAAGCAACTCGGTTAGTTTTATATGCCTGTGTCTAATAGTCTGGACAGCTATTTTGAAGATAGCCATTGTTAATTTCTTATTATCTTGTTTTGAAGCCCCGTATCATTTTCTTTGTTTTGTTTTGTTTTATTTGATTTTATTATGTCTGATGCTATGGGCAGCTGTTTTGAAGATAACAAAATATATTATGGTAACCATTGTTGATTTTTTATCTTGTTTTGAAGTCCTGTTTTACTTTCATGGTTTTATTTTGATTGACTTTATTCTCTTTAAAATAAAAAAATTAAAAAAGATATACTAGCTGGGTGTGAAGTGCATGCTTATAATCCCTGCATTTGGGAGGCTGAGGCAGGAGGATCTGAGTTTGAGGCTAGCCAGGGATATACAGTGAGTGCAAGCCAAGCCTCGATTATACAACCAAACACTGGTTAAAAAAGAACAAACTGGGTGTAGTGGTGCACACCTATAATCCCAGCACTTGAGAGGTTGGGGCAGGGGGAATGCTGTGAGTTTGAGGCCAGCCTAGGCTACATGAGGAGTTCAAGCCCAGCCTGAAGTACATAATGAGACCTTGTCTCAAAAAAAAAAAAAAAAAAAAAAAAAAAGAGTTGTTACATTGAAACAGATGGTCAATTATGCAAGAAACCCTTGTATTTGACATCTCTTTTCCAAAACAACTAAATGAGCAATTGAGTAAAAAGAAAAAGAAAGTAAATTAATCTGTTAAAACAAAAAACAAAAAACAGCTCATAATGCAAATGCAGGGACCCTTTTCCAGAAAATTGAATGCCATCTTTGAAAACCTTGAGGTTATATAAAAAGTTGAGTCATTTATGACTATTGCGTAGAGATGTTGAGCACAGTCATCAATCTTATTGAAGGGGCCTTTTGAATATTTGACTGCTCTGATTGCTTGGCGAGGTGCCTGTGTCGTGACATGTTCTAAATGAAATCTGTGGTGTAAGAAGAGAGTGTAGGAAGAGATGGATTTGAAAGCTTTTTAAAGAAACACATCAGAAGCTTTTCAGGTGCAGTAACTGGAAACAGAGACTTGCTTTCTTTATGCAATTCAGCAATTAGCTGTTACTTCCTTTGGTTATTATGGATCCGGTGTGCTTGGGATCTGAGTGTGTTGGGTTTCACATTGTTCTTGATTTAGGAACATCTGCAGATAAACAGTGAAATGTCTTGGAGGTGGCACCCAGATACAAACACAGAATTCCTTTAGGTTTTACATGTCCCTTATTCACGTAGCCTAGGGGTAATTTTTCAACATTTTTTGGAGGCCTGCATTTTGACTTCCCCTCAGCACATTGGGTCAGGTGTGAAATTTGCTTTCTAACTTATGATATTATGTCTGGATGGCTGGGCATGGTAGTGCATGCCTGTAATCCCAGCACTCGGAAGATTGAGGCAGGAGGATGACTGAGTTCAAGGACTACATAGTGAGAACCTGTCTCAAAAAAGAGTGTTAGATTTTGGAGCATTTTGAATTTTGAATTAGAAATGTTCTATCTGTATCAGTTTGTGTGGTAATAGATACCAAATAATTCACTGAATGAATAAATGCATCATTTCTGTGATTCATTCTCTCTTCTGCCATATGAAGTAGCTATTTTAAGCATTGCCATTGAGAAGCAGAAAAAGCAGGTGTTGTTATTTGTTGCTGGTGTTGCTGTTTTGAGACTGTCTCACTATTTTATGGGGGCTGGCCTTGAATTCCTAGGCCTTGAATTCCTAGCAGTGATCCTCCTGCTTCAGC